AAAAAACGAATATTCTTTAAAACATGATGAAATCGAAAAAATGTTATATTTGGCCGATGATGATCAAAGTAAGACTTGACAATTTCTTGTTGTTTCCGTCCCTCTTACCACTCACGTTAGAATATTGAATAGCTCCCATAATCATGTAAAGCACTAGAGAAATTCGGCAATCGATTAAACAAAGAGCGAAAAAAGAGAAAAGCTTTAAAACGATTCTCGGACAAATTAATGTTCCTGTTATTGAAAGTAGGAGTCATATAGAAATAATTATACCTCGGTAAATTACTTTTAGCCGTAAATAACCGTTTCTAATGATGGCTAAAAAAAATTCTTAATTCTTGGGTGATTATTAAAAATTTAGGGTCAAAAACGAGGATTTCCTTCTTCCACAAGCTATGTTCTCGCCTTTAACGATATTTAGCTCCGGAATGTCTCACAATGAAGAAAATACATTTGTTTAGAGAACTCTAGCAGCAGATTTTTCATCTTTTTGTGTTGCGTGGTTTTAGTAACAACAAGACCTGTAAAATTCTTCTGGAGTATTATAGAAACCTTTGTTTTTATGAAAAAATAAGGTCAACTGAAAAATTCTTCTTCTACAGCAAAGAATAATAGAATTAAACATTTTTTCCATGAAAAGAAAATAATTGCTCTATGAGCTTCGAGTTTTAGCTTAGTATTTACAACTGGCAATCAGTCGAAAAATGCATTTACAGCAGCTGTATATCGTAATATAGTACAGCAAGTGTTTGAATATACGATAAGATGTTTATAATTCGACCGACGAATGCCTTACAGACCTGCACAATACCCTGCTTTGTGGAGAACTTAATCCGGAACAAGCGCATGCATTTCAAAAAAGTAAAGAGTTAGTAAACTAGACATCCTATCGCAACTTTTTTGAGCAAACAATTTCTAGTAAGTGGGAGACGTCTCATTTTGAAGAAAGACTTTGCTGTATATGCCTCTGTGATTGAAAAACGTTGCCGACTGCCTAAAGACAAGACAAGTTTTCTCAAGTTTTATCTGTTGAGGGTCAGAATGACTCCTATTTTTTAGAGCAAACTTCACTCTATACAAAACCATGTTAAACTTAAAAATTTCATCATTTTTTGCTTCAGAATAGGAGAACGTACTCTTCTCATTGAATAATCATTACTAAACGCGTTCTTTCATTGTTTGTTTCCAGGTTCATCATCTGATTTCTGTGAAAGGTCTCGGGATAAAAAACACGAACGTCAAAGCTTTTATGAAGAGGAAAATGATTCTGATTTATGCAAAATATGTATGGGCGATTCCATTAATTGTGTATTTTTGGAATGTGGTCATTTAATATCATGTATCCAGTGTGGTCAAGGATTATTGAATACTAATAAACAATGTCCTATATGTAGACAAACAATAACAAGAATTAAAAAAGTATTTAAGTCATAAACAATAATTTACTGCAACGGTGGAATGACGATGAAACTAGGTTGGTGATATCATACATAACTTACCATCGTTAGCTGTGTGCACAGCAGCAATTTGGTTCGGTTAAATCAAGAGGAAAACAGCTGATTTTGGGATTTTTACCGATTTTTTCCGATTTCCTAGGATTTGTTTGGGAAATCAAGTAAAGAGACTGCGATAAATAGTGTAGAACCCGCTTTATTTCTACAAATCAGACATAATGAAAGTAAAGAAAAAAAAGATAAAATCATAACCGATTTTTAGAGATTTTCGCTTTAAACCGATTTTTTAATACATTCCGAGAATACGGCATGAGAATCGACTTATTAGAGTCCGGCAGTAAGGGGACACCTTTTATATCTTGATCGGGATATATATCAGTATTTTTTCGAACAGAAATTTTTAATAAATTTCAGTGCAATTTATATCTCGATCGAGAAATAGGCGTTAACCTTTTATTCCTCAGAATGGGATAAACTTTTAATCTAATCGCTTTCCACACCGATCGTCTTTTTCTATTTCTTCCTTTACGGTACATGCATATATTAAAACACACATTTCTTTTATGATGCGTAGACGATATATAAGTACACGTGCTTTGTGTTTAACGGGGAATTTTCCAACTATTGTAGGTAAAAAAAAGAATGGACTCGGATGTTTTTTGAATAACGTTTGACAGAAAAGTGGTAGATGCTTGCGGTAGTACAGTAGTTATAACAGCTTAGGTTGAGTACAAGTTCCGATAGTCACTAATGTGACCGACAGTTGAGTTTGAAAATCGAATAATACGATTATTATCACTATCAGCTATATAAATATTTCCATTAATAACAGTAACCGCTTGAGTTCCACTTAGTTGAAAAAGACGTATCCCGCGCGTGCCATCACCGGCTACTGTTAGGGGATGCACCAAGACGGGGTACTCGATACCCGAAACTTTAGTCTCGAGTAGTCTCGAGTCTCGAAAGTTTCGGTCTCGAAATAGTCTCGAGTTTCGAGACTTTAATCTCGATTATTCTCGAGCCTCGAAAGTCTCGATATAAAAGTGCCGGTATCGAAACTTTCCGAGACTTTTCGAGACTCGAGACTATTTTTTTTGTTCTGTATAGAAGGATCTCTGGTGAATATGTAATGGATGTAATGTCGAAAGACATCTTTTGGAGTAGATACTTTGTATGGTAACTTTTTTGATACTTTTAATCACTACAAGTGAAAAACTCCATGCGCCATATAAAGTTAGCTAACTAAGCGTTAATTATTTTAATTTCCCCAGAATAATTTAGTTAAAATGAAATGAAAGAGCATATCACTATCGTTGTAGTTATTCTGACTAGTATAGAATTGTTGAGCATTTTACAGTAAATAAAAAATACAGGTTTTATATTGTATAGAAAACTCATTCGATTTGCTGAAAGATCGATTTTGTAGAGAAGAGAATATTTTTAAGAAAGCTATAAAAGTTAGACCTTACGGAGTTATCTTCATTCAGCTTTAGTCCAGTTCACGGCTACATGTAAATGACACACACAGTAACTGAAAAAAAGACTTCCTTCGCCCATCTTATTAAAATCAGAATAAAAAATTTCTGCAACACAAAACAGGTTGCTCGATTTTCTCAACTGATGAGAAGATCTACACAAGTAATAAGAGTAGCCACAAAAAAATTTCAGTCATATCGAGACTCGAGACTATTCGAGACCGAAACTTTCGAGACTCGAGACTGTTCGAGACCGAAACTTTCGAGACTCGAGACTACAGTATCGAAGCTTCTCGAGACTTCTCGTCTCGGTGCATGCCTAGCTACTGTAACTCCGTTTCTTTTACCTTTCTCGAATTTTTGAACTCGATGATTCATAGAATCGACAACATAGAGATTATCATTTTCATCAACATAAATTTCCTCCGGACTATTTAATTGATGACTTTTTGAATCTGCTATATCTGTTTCTCCTGCTAGCACAGATGCAGTTGTTGCACTCTGAATCCACTTGATTATTCGATGATTGGCGAAATCCGATACTTACAAAGTTTTATCTTTATCAATAAAAATGCCAGTTGGAAATGAAAGACTATCATCTGTTTGTCCTTGTTCACCTTTTCTTCCAGCAATAATTTTAATCCCACTTTCATTGTCAGACACCGGTATAGCACGATGATTGCGTGAATCTGCCATGTATAAATCTGTCTGGTTGTTTTCAGTAATCACAAATATTTCGATAGGGTAGTTCAAATCATGATTACTACCAGCAACTAACACACCATTTTGTGAACCTTTCGAACATTTTAGAACTCGATTATTACTTGTATCTGCTACATATAAATTATCAGTTGAATCAATAAATAATTCTTCTGGATTTTCTGGTTGATTAGGCTTATTCCCAGCAAGTCCATTTCCAACTAGGGTCACTGCTGTGGAACTCCATTATGCACATGACGGTATTAATGGAGCAATACAAAGTGATCTCTAAACGAAAAGAGAAATTATTATGTGTAATGACTAATTAGGATCTTCTTACCTGAGCACAAAATCAGAATGACTAACAATATACGCAGAAGCAACGAACGATAGAGGAGTGGGGTATTATTACATTAACGAAGGAATCTTCACAATAATAACATTACGTCAAATAAAATAACTTTTTCTCTCTTGACGAACATACGTGATGAGAATGAATATTGATAGATATAGAAGAAAAATGTTTATTTAACTTTGAGAATATTTTTTTCTTTCACCATACTCATTTTAATGGTAATTGATGAATCAGAGAAATTAACTTTTTTCTTGATTCAAACAGCATCAACTATTTTTTACCATTTTCTGTAAATAATCGTTGAAACTTGAGAAAGTTTGGAAAGAATTGATGTAAGTATCAGAGGTGGGTGAGCCATGCCTTCTCCCGGCTCACACTCGCCACCGCTCGCCAGATAGCGACTCGTAGCTCGGCTCGACAATAATATTATAAAGTGAGATCGCACTCGATCCAGCTCGTAGGACCACAGCTCGCGGGCAATTGACGACACGGGTATCTAAGGCTTTTTTAAAACATGAACAGTACCGCGTATCACACAGAAACTTTGAATTCCATTGATTATCATTATAACCAGAGATGTTTACAGAAGCGATTTTTAAGCAAAATTTTAGCCATACAGTTGGTGGTCATGAACACGTTTTGTCAAAATCAACTATGTTAAATTCATACGGTTTCTTCTTACCACTGGTATATTTCAAGGAGCAGTGGTTTTAATAGAAATTTTTTTTAGAGTGGAACTTTTCACTTTGATACTAAATGTAAAGTGGACAAAACGGGAACAGTTGAAATTTTTGTCCAATAGCGGCTAGAAGAGATTTCTTTCTTCCTAATATCCTGTTGATGTTAATCGTCAGACACTAGCGATGTTGGATCGTGATAAAAATTAGAGGATTAAAGAGAAATTATACTAGTTCTCTCGCTCACATTTGTTCAACACACAGTTATCGATGGGTTGCTTTTCTGAGGCAGAAAATATGAAAAAAAGAAATGGAAATTCTCAAAAGCAAAGTGGAAGACAAAGAGGGATATGCTTTTCTCAGCGTGGAAAACAGAATGGAAATTTATTATTCAAAGTGGAAACCCATTTTGCTTTCGCTTGTCTCACTAATCATTATGTTAGGCTCCACCTAACTTGTTCCAATCTTCGCTTGTGTGTACAAATGTTTTATTCAGAAAACGAAGGCACTCCTCTAGTACAGTGTATGCCTGTGTATATATATGAGTGATTCTGATAAAAACAGTACCGTTCGAGTGAAGTAAATGATCCCAAACGTTTCTTTTCTTAGCCTTGATGAATCACTTTTGGACTTCTCCCATATATTCAACAACGTTAGGCTTATAATCGCTGCAAGTACGACTTTTCTATGTTTAACCGTGAACGAATTATAAGCAAAACATCCATGTTTGACCGTTATTTTGATGTTGTCTTTCTGGTGATTCAAATACGTTTGGTTTTGTAAATGGTATTTTCTGTTATTTTATGTGGAGCAATATATTTTTTTTCTCTCTTTCTTATAGTATTTTCTTCGCTCTACTCAGTTACATCATTATCTTTGTTACCGATTGTTCTGTTTTTTCACAAATTCTGAACAAATTTGTGATCCCAAAAAATCCTTTTTTCTGTCCCGTAACCACATGGTCTGTGGTGGCTCTGGTAAGTTATTCAATTTGCCTTCTTTATGTGCCAAAAGTTGACTAAATATATAGAATAGACAACAGCGAAAATCCGACGTTTCTATCACTTTTTACTACCAAGTAATTCCCACTTTACTGAAGTTATGTGAGGTTTGACTGACAATTTGTCCCGTAACCACCTACTATGCCACGCCTCAACCGGGCTTGATAGAAAGTTTCTTTTTTTTATCATAAGTGTTGTCTACTCATACGATGATCCTATATAAATAGCAAAGACTAAGATTGCTTTATACTGGAGAAAGGTAGAAAATACAAAGAAATGTCCCGTAACCGCCTTTGTCTCGTAACCGTTTTTTTTCTGTTTCTTCTGTAACTTTAACATACCACGCGCGAATACAGCCAAATTTCTAGTGTAGAGATTTCGAAACATGTTGAATTTAATGAAGTACATAAGTAGCATTTAGACCGGCCAAATATGGTTTTCTAGAGAACGGGATTCTCTACAAACCTGTTTCTTCTCTTTCACTGTTATCGAAAAACTCAGCGCGCTCGACCGTTTTTCAAATAAGTAGAGAACAAAAAGAGCTAGAGAGCTCGGGTCTTCACCATTGGAAAGAAAAGACTTGAATGCACTTTTCTAAACAGAAAAGATTTCAAAAATCTTTTTCGGAAGTGGGCTTTTTAAGAGATCTTTAAAAATCAGGCCATAGCTCAAGTTCAAGTACTACTATCCATTTCAAAATATAGTGTAGATGATTGCGACATGAATAACTCGAGAAATTAATGAGCTAGCGAGATCGGACTTTCTCCATCATGCAGCCAAGATCGGGACACGTAATAATATGCAGCAACCAAAATTTTTGCGTTGATCTCTGGAGGATTTCTAAGTGAATCTCTGGAAAACCGGTTTATGGCTCTAAAGTTTTACATAGGAATCTATCAGTTTCTTTTCATATATGGATAGTCAAAGGTATTCTCTACAAAATCAGATCCAAGCGACATCTCGAAAATTCATGGTTCGGAAGCTACGGGCGTTTTTCTTGAAGCCTTAGGACTCCTCTGCCGTTAGTTTTGAAACTGTCAGAAATGAATGAAAACATAAGTTACCGACTATGCTGAATCTCGTGGCAATATTTGTTTTTCTAAACAGTTTCAAAAACTTAGTGAAAACGTACATTAGGTGAAATACCTATGTATGAAATACCTTGGTTTGTTTGTGTGCGAGAAAACTTAGTTTTTTCCAACGTCTCCTCACCTGTGCCGATCATGTCAATCAACAAGCCGTCGCATGTATCTAGAGCAACCTTTGCCTCATAAACCTACAGAAACAAATAAAAATATACGTTACCTACATCGCGATGCAATGCTTGTTTTCGGAAACAACTGAGGAAACCAAGTGAACCTTTGCAACTGTGATATTTAGTTTCTGAGAGCTTCAGTGTATTAGACTTTCAACCTTAACTATTTCAGTCAAAACAGGCTGGTTCCTCAGTTTTTTGCCAGTATTGTAAACCTATAACGAAAGACTGCGCTATAAGAAGAATAGTTTTTATGGTAGTTTGATGATACTTTGAGGCTTTCAGGCCTTATTATTTCCATTGGAAAGAATATTGCGCCAACAATCAACATCATATCCATCCATTTTTTAATCGTATAATCATCATTCTTTACAATGTTGTTGGTTCACCTAGAACAATCATTTCTCATTTAACTGACTTTCACGGTATGTTTTATCACAATCCTTTCAATTTTTGTTTTTTTCTCACTTTTCGCAACATGTAAGTATTTTCTCAAAGGTGAACAATATCGAGAATAAAAATAATTCCTGTCATACCTTTTTAATTCTTCACCTCTCAAGATACAAATTTAGTTTTGTACATCACTCAGATTCGCATCAGACGCCGAAATCGAGTCAACGTGATCCGATTTTTTACATATTGGACATTCTAAAGACCTTCTTTATCTACTAAGAGTTCACATAGAAGTTAAAAATCGGTTCATTGGTTGTTTTTCCAGCAATTTTCCACTAATGGATGTGCCTCTTTTTTTATTTGGTATTGTCAGCTTTGGAACCTCAAAATGAATCAAGGATTTGTAGCAAATTATCCATTTGTTTGGAAAATAGGAAGTACAGAGTAAGCAGTGTCGACCGATATTAGTATTGTCGGTATCGGTATTGATCAATATCAATATCGGCATCACTAATATATTTCGATATCGGCGCATGCTTAGCTGTAGTAGTATGTAAATGTAAGGTATGATACAAGTTAGAGAAAGGTTTGAAACAGATTTATTGGATTTTTCTTCGCGAGATCTATCGGATGTATTTTGAAGGCTATTTTTATCAAAAATCATCAGTTTCTTTTATCATCAATGACTTTTGAGATTTGTTGCGTGACCCAACAAAATATTATAAGATGTATCAACATTAGATTACCGTTTTCACAACTATTACAATTTGTTACTACTCTTGAGTCACAAGAAATGCCTTACCTTGCAACTTTCTATACCATAATTTTTTTTATAAATGACACAATGGCAATGCAATTCTCTCATTGATAGTAAATTCTTTCAATTATCTGAATCATTTTTGACAAGATCATCTGATCGTGATAACTCCTAAAAATCTACTAAAACCTATATTAGGTGAAATAATTCATATTGAACTTGTGCTATGAAATTTTTTAATTTTCCCGTAGGACAGCGTCTGTAACAACGAGTTTTCCCTTAAACCCGACGTCCACAGGTTTCTACGTTCAGAAACTGAAAACCGTACGTCTATATTTCATCTTGTTCAAAAGAACATCCACAGATTCTATTTTTATTTATCGACTGCAAAACTCTCATCCCTTTCACCGCCAATAACGAACCCAAACTTTTCGAGATAAAATATATTTTACCTAGGTTCTTACGATATTGGGTTCTTGCATGTCGAAAACGAATATAAAAATTTTAGATTCGTACTAACGTTTTAGGCTCGTACTACGTTTTTACGTTCGTACGAACATTTAGATACAACAACCTTTTCTCCTAGTATATTTTATAATTAGGTTTTTAGGCTGCTGGGTTCCTGCACGCATTAAAAGAACATGAACGTTTAGGTTCGTAAAGAGAGATGCCAACCGCGGCTGGGGGTGTTGGTGTAAGGTGCCGGCAGTGAGTCTTATAGCCTACACCCCGCAAACCTAGTAACCTAAAACGTTATTACGAACCTAAAATTTTTAGATTCGTTTTCAACATGCAAGAACCCAAGAATCTGGATGTAGAATATACTAGACGAATAGGTCTTGTATCTAAATGTTCGTACGAACCTAAAATTTATAGATTCCTTTTGAAGATGCAAGAACCCAAGAACCTAAGAACCCAGATATAAAATATACTAGCAGAAAAGGTTCTTGTATCTGAATGTTCGTACGAAGCGAAAAGCATAGTGTGAACCTAAAACGTTATTACGAACCTAAAATTTTTGGAGTTGTTTTCAACATGCCAGAACCCAAGAACCTAAGAGCCTAAATATAAAATATACTAGGAGAAAAGGTATTGTATCTAAATGTTCGTACGAACATAAAATCGCAGTTAGAACCTTAAATGTTTAGTTTCATTGTTAACATGCATCCTCCCCTTATCGGTGCGCCCCTGAATATGAGAACCAAAAATGCGCGATTTTTTCTGTGGTTTAAGTCAAGCACTCAGCGATATTTGGAAGAAAGTTATTCAAAAGCCAGTTGAAATGGCACTCCAAAGTAAGCTAACATTTTCATCTTGTCGTTAAACGTTAATCTTCATTAACGGTCTCGTCATAACTGTCTATTTTCGTACCACACTTGCTAATTTATTTTATTTGTTTCGGATCCTATCTCCTATAATTCCCCAGCAATTTAATTAAGACGCAGCAAAAGAATGACAATATATCACCGGAACAACAAAAATAAAGTTGGTTTTGAGTTACTGAAAAGTGTTTTTCCGTATCCAGCACGATCGATAACCCAGAAAATTTTCTATTTTTAGCGAGGAGTACTTCCAAAAGTTCAGGAAAACTTTTCAAACTAATATTAGTTTAGTTTAAACTTGATTGATTCAAGAACGAGAAATAAGAATAGTCATTTTACACAGATGTGGCCTAGGCCATTATACTTTTAAAGCTTGTTTCAGGGCGATTCTTTTCGCGTATGACTCAATGCGATAGTCCTTAAGACGAAAAACTAGATACAGTTACAAAGTGGATCAGTCCGTTTTGACACATACTGGTCCGGACGTCTATGTCGGACGAGTGTTTACCGCTGGGATGGCCTAGACAGCTTTTTTGTAAATCAGTTTTTGACGCTGATTCAGAAAACTTTAGTTAGAATTTTCTAGCTTGCACTACAACTTTAAAAAAAATTCCTTTTATGATGGAGGCCAGTTTTTGAGGCTTTTTAGGTATTCACAGTTTTACGCATTTTTCTCCATGAAGAAAGAGCTTCTAAAAGCTGTGAAGGTGATATTTGAGATCAGCTTGATGCGGCGAATCAGAATATGTATAATAAAGTCAGAAAAATGTTTTACTACAATTTTGAATTAGCACCTTATAATTTTTGATCATTTCTTTTTTGTACTACATAAATTTCGATTACAAATATAGGATATTAATTTATGTTAAAAGCCGGACTTGTTTATTGTGGTATCACTTAGAAATGTTGTACGATTTACTGCTCATGTGCCATTTATAAAGGTTGGTTGGTTATTACAATGTTTTCATGAACACCAAGTTTTTTTCTGTGATCTTTTCCATACTTTTGGCATAAAAAGATTTACTTTTTTCGTAACCGAGATCTTTTGCATGTTTGTATTGAAAATTTGGTCAAATACGGATCAAAAGCACGTTATTTCCGTGATCGTTTCTCATTTTATGTTATCAGTATGACCGCATGCCGGACAAAATTTCACATTTTATCGTTCGGCTGACTCTTTCTATCCCGTTTTGGGTAAAAAGAACTTCGAAACAAATGTGTAAAACATTATTTATGGTAAAATATACGATAACAGTTATTTCGTTTTGAAGTCGATAAGACAGATGAACCATGGGAAAATTTTAGCCGATAAAACTGCGCGCACACGCTTGAAATTCGTATTACGGTACGCGGACCCACCTGAAGAGCGTGAAGTCATGTGTGGGCGCTTCTAGAACGTCTTTCCACTTGTGACCACCCATGAAACAGAGTGTTTCAGTCGTGCCCAACCAGTTGTTCGAGGGGTACTTCGAGTGCTCGAAAATATGTTTTCGATGAGCCTTTGCCGAGGGCTCGAGCCCTCGGAAAATGGCACTTGGAACCCTCGATATAAGTCGAGCCCTCGGCGAGGGCCTGTTTTCGAGTACTCGCTGCACCCCTCGGAAGACTTTTTTCATCTGCATGGATGACCGCGCCCTGAAATTTACTCTCTTACCTACAAAATTTTGCAAAACTCCAAGCAGCCATTTCATGGTCCCTCACACATGAAAAGTCGATAACACTGCCCCATGAGAACCATAAACAAGAGAGCAGCTGTCCTTCAAAAAACGACGATAAAGCAATAAATAACAGGTTTAAAAAGTCGTTGCGTTTGACAATTTTTTTGATGGTTCAGAACCGGAAAAATAACTGATAAGAGAAAGAGTCCATTGTCTGGATACAACCAGACAAACTGTGCAGAGTTTATGATATTGCTGCAAAAATTTTGTAGTTGTCAGTGCTGAGAAAATTACGAGCTTTTTGTTAGCTATCCATACTCCCAATTTTTTCAAAAACATTTTCAGAATATATATAACTTGATGTGCTCTGCAAACTGAAAAAGTTCGTAAACAAGATAGTTGATGTGTCTTTTCAATAAAAAAGTTTATATTCCTT